GATCTGCTGTCAGCGTCTGCGGCTGTGTGGAGTACACCACGTCTTACTGATAAAGTATACATTTTAGTGAGCTGTATATCACGTCTTACTGATAAAGTATACATTTTAGTGAGCTGTATATTTCCGGTAACACTGTCTGTGGGAGGGTGTGGCATAAGTGCACATCTTCCTATTATGGTCACGTATTGTATTTTCTTTCCAATATTTAGATTTTAGAGATTTTTTGTAAGTAGAATTCATTAAATTATTACAAGGTTTTGCATTATATATCGGAGAACTCTATAGGTATATTAGCAGAAATGTTCTCTGTAATACGTTTGTGTTCTGTGAGAATAGGAAGTGAGTGTTGTTGTTATGCATACGGAGTTCTGAGGGAAAAAATGAAGTGTGGACTATAGTGTATTGCTACTTGTGACAATAGCTGGGTGGTTTACAGACAGATTACAAGATTTTATTCATATTGTTGCACATCAAAAATACATGGATTGACCTGCTGAAATCATATTTAGCGAGCAGTCTATTTCTGTGTGAAAAGAAGGATGCGTTTAGGTGTTTAAGAACACATTAAGTTTTACTGAAGTTTTTATAATATAAGCGAGAAGCTCATTTTCTTTGACAAAGTGTCTGTAAGTGTGTAAATAATCCAACCATTTGTTTACCCAACTTATTTAATGCTTTCTTTATACTGTGACGTCGCAATCAAAATGGTTTTAATATTTATGAAGTATGTAGTCAAATTTTAAAAATGATTTTACTGTTGAGAAATTATCAACTATGTTTTCATCATCCACTCAATATTTCACTCGAATACTAAACGAACTATTTGTCCAATGACAATCAACAGCGCTTTAACATCTCAACTTGGCAGTCCGGAGACATTCCGTATACTGTTAAAATTGGAAATTTTCGCGGTGTAGATATTATCTTGTTTTCTCGTTGATTAAATATGTGCGAGAAAATATCAACACGCGAATATAAATTGATAGAGTAAAGATTATAGAAATATATAGCGCACGTATATAACGATTTCAGAACATTTTCCACAACACGATCAGTTGAAAGAATCTAAACGGAAACATTTCCTCACGCGAGAAGTTCCACTTTTACGGAAATTCCTGGTACGTCCGAAATAGACCAACGTCTCTGCGTGGTGTGTATAACTTTCAACCAATGTAAGAAATAACGGAGATGCATAATTTGTCCAGACAATGAACATATATAGGTGTTGGGGAAAGAGGGGAGGGGATTATGTAAGGAAGCGCCCTGTGTTAGTACATGTACATGTAAACCGTTGAAATCTCAATAGCACGGATTGGTTCCAAAGTCTACATGCAATTGGTGATAAACAAAATATACGTAAAAGTCAAGGATATGTTAGAATCGGAAAGATTGGAACAAATGTGTCTGATTTTGTAAATAGCCCAGAGGAATTGTCAGTTACCGTACTAACTAGGTAATTCCGTCAACCAATCGACGCGGTTTTTACCGGACGCTCTGTAAGCACTATTACGTGGAGACTAAGTGAAGGTCTGATAGATTTTATGTAAAATTTGATTGGTACTATAACGTTTTGTACAAGTCGGTGATTCACCCGCGCTAGGATACAGACACAGATGTAGGCGATCTACAATATGGTGTCCGATGTCCTGAGGTTTATATATATAATGCTGTCATTTGAATGGCGTTCGGCTTCTATTCAATTGTTATATACATGGAGAACTCGGTTTCCTCTTACTTTACCTGTCATGCTTTGCGAAATACCATTTTCTTTATATATGCCAATAAATGTTTTTAAAACGACAGTCAACTGCCCAATATTACATAGAGAAACCTATGTACTGAACTATTTACTCGTATAAACTTACCCCCTTATCTGCTAGTAAGTTTGCTATTTACATGTGATACTGTGTAAGTACGACGATAGACGAAAGGATGGAAGCTGTCGGAAACAGGTCGACGGGATGTTGAACGAATTGGCAGACCTATGTATGTTACACACAAAAAAATGTAGTTAATATAAAAGTTGATAAGAATAATTCCGATGATTGAAACAATTTTTTTAACAGCAATTCTCAAAATATCTCACTCACATATAGCGGACTTGCTATACCCACGGAATTAGATTAATTTGTTATCTAAGTCCGTGCTATACCAGAGCATTTCCGACCTCATGAGAAATAGGTTCTTGTGCACGTAAGATTGTGACACTCATCTGATTATGTAACCTTTGTACCGCATAATGTTATTTTTATTGACAAAATGTTGCTGTTGTATCAGCGTTAATAATGAAATAACACTTACAAATGTACGTACAATAAGCAATGTCTACCTAATTACTATTTTTTTCTCTTATTTTGTGTGTGTTTATGTGTGGGTAAGCCTGAGAGGACCTTGCTGGTAGGGCTTTCCCCAACCCTTGGAAACCTCAGGATTCCCAGGCATTCTAATTATTTTGAATGATATGCTGTTAACGAGATCATTCTTTCTGTATTTAATAAACTAATTCAAGATTTATTAACTTCTCTCTTCATCTCTGTAGTTAACTGATGTATTTATGTGCATTTAAGTATCAATTAATAATTTGATTTGTATTTTGCCTACACTGTACATTTTTGTAACTCTTCAATTTGGAGGAAATAAAGAAATAATAATAGTTATAGCTATAAGCATACCCTCACAGTTGTACAAAATACAGAATTTATTTCTGCTAATGTTTACTACCAGAAACATTACATTCTCTAGAGACGTTGAACATGGAGACATTGCCATCAATGCGCGTTCCGATCTGCATCACCAAGGTCACACAGGTTATGCTATCAAACAAACTTTGTCGATACTTTAAACTGCAGTAATAATATTGAAGAATGATTTAATGACATACGGAAACAAAGCGAGCGCAATCTGTCAAGTATTAGGAGGTAAACCGATTATACTGCAACCAAGACACGTTGTATGGAGGCCCAGTAGAGTGAGCAATCCTTTTGGGAATGGTGTACGGAGGCTGGGATCAGCCAACGTGCATGAGACAACTGATTTCTTTGTACGGGAAAAGATTGATATGGTTTAACATGTGGACCGTTACTGTTCACGGAACTTTGAAATTGTAACGAAGTATAAGTTAGTATGCTGTACAGATTTGGGAGAGTTTGTAAGCGGGACAAGAGAGAGAATCTATTATCAAAACAGATTGGAAAAGAAAAAGGCACAAAGAACACATTTTAATAAAGACATAATAGGAATAAGATTATATGTAAACATGTTCATGACATGTGTAAAGTTTAAGGCTTGGAAGACTATTGATTTAAAAAAAAAAATATCGTGCATAGAGGTCGGGAATTGTGCATCGGATAGGGAGAGAATGGTATGTATAGGAGACCGGGGACAGTCTAACTTATACACACCTGGTCAGATAGTTTATGGAGACATATTTTCCTCGGTATGCAATTAGAAGTACATGTATCATCTACGTTATTTCAAAATGTCTGTAATAAATAGGTTTTGACGAAAATTCTCGATTTCTACAGTTACTGGAATCCATCTTCAACGGCTGTGAAGATAATTTCATACCTGTTAAGGTTTTCGACACAATATTATTTTATTCAAATATGTTTGTAAATCTCTAAATCACACAAAAGATTATTTGCGTGAATATAGATATTTTTGCACCTTACCAAATACATCCAAATAAAACACAATGATTCAAATTACTTTATATTACAAGGATTATGCGGATATATTTACATTTGCATGGCATTGTCACTATATAGCCTCTTTGAAAGCTGTGTCGTTGATGGGACTTTAATTACCATGCATCACGAGACACAATTCTTAGCGTGTTAATAAAACACTGACCGGAACTACAATATCTAATATAAATAAACATGACGGCTGCTGAAATATCGCTGGGCATTGTGAGATTTGACAATGTCATTGTAAATGTATGTGCAAAATAAAAAATAAAATAAAAAAACACTTTTATTACAACGAAAACAAATCCAAGGTCTGCAATATCGTACAAAATGCACATCGGTTGAAATCACCAATGCCGGCAATGGAAACAATTTTAACGCTCGTGCAATTTATCAGAAATATCGTGTGTTACACTGCACTGGTCAACAGGGGTTCGTTACAAATGTCTGAAATACACATATTCTATAGACCTACTGACACATATGTTACAGACCTACTGATATGAGTCACAGCACACATAAACATTTCAGACATTTGTAACGAACCTGTGCTCCGTCGCAAGATCACTCACTTCAAAAGTTATCAGTTTCACGCGTCTCGCATCTACGGTTCCTCAGTTTAATTCTGACGACATGTCAAATAACGAGGCTGTTATAGAATCTACCGACTGTTGTTAGGTTCCCATACAATCAACAAATAAATTCACGCCTGGACTCTTCACAAAAACTTCCAAAAATAACTCCCTCTTGGAGGGCAAGGTCGCATTTACGGTGTTCACTGTATTTGTCCATGCGCGAAATTTGTTCCGGGGGAAAATCGAAACAATTTAAAATATACATATCATACGATTGATACTGAATTGTGGAATGAAATTGAAGTGTTTGTTAAAATTTCAAAGTACTACTTTGTTTGCCAATCAGCACGCGACAATACGCTGTTCAAACTATTGAACGAAATTGTGTGGACTGTCGATAAGGCGGGCATTTTTAATTTTAAATATAAATTGTAAGTTAAAAAAAAGAACATAAGAGGCAGAGAAAACGTAAATATAAGTATTGAACTGTTTTTGTATGGTATTTATGATCTATTTGAATGACACAGCTTTGCAAGCAAACAAATCATAATGCGCTAGCGCGCATTATGTTGTTTGCTTGCAAAGCTGTGTCATTCAAATAGATCATAAATACCATACAAAAACAGTTCAATGCTTAAATAAGGGTGTTGTTTCTTCGTATTGTGTGACGTCATAATAAATGTGACGTTAGGATTACGTCGTTGACTACGACACCATTTCTGTCGACGTCATCAATATTTGGTAGCAACAGGACGTCGCCATTTTTAGTCTTGCTGATGATGGCAAGCATCCGAATGATTGAAGATTTGAAACGTTTTAGCCATGGCTCAGTATGTTATGGCCCCTATGAGAAGGCGAACGTCATTAATGACGGACGATCGGCCATATGCGAGAAGTAATGCATCTGCACTCCATGTTAAAATCAAACTAGATGATGAAGATTTGGGAGAAGATGACAAGTTGGAAGAAGATGAAAGCAATGAGTATGTAAATCTTAACGTTGGTGGTGTTTTGTTTCGTACAAGTCAACGAACGTTATCTAATATATCGGATACGAAATTGTCAAATTTACAAAAGTCAGATCCAAATTACAATGCAGCAAAAGACGAATATTTCTTTGATAGAAATTCTGCAATTTTCCCGTGGATACTTGATTGTTTTCGCCATAGAGAAATGCATATCCCTCGATCATTTTGCGCCGTTGTAGTACAAGACGAACTTTTGTATTGGGGACTGAAAGACAGTCGTTTAAGTGATTGTTGTATGAAGACGTATTTAGATAGCCTTGATGAAATTGCTACCAATGAAATTCTTCTTCGAGAGTTTAATGAAATACCCATGGATGTTTATGCTGTTGAAAGTAGCATCAATGGAAAGTCATCCTGCAGAACAATCATATGGAACTTCATGGACAAACCGCAGTCCTCTCGATGGGCTCAGGTAAGCGGTACTTGCTCTTTTTTCACCATAATTATTTTATTTTTTCAATTTATCAACTATCTGTTATAACAGGCTCATGCACTGTAACGTCACACTGCGAAAATTGACACTATGGCACCATACTTCGAGAATTTTTTAAGCAGATTACGTTTAGTCCGCGAAAATAGACCATACGAACAGGCTTCAATTTTTTCATCAAATCAGCATGCTCAATAATATGCACTCAATAATCAGCATGCTCAATGTACTTAATAAGTATACTCAGTTATCATTTACTAAGTAATCATTTAATTCATTCATCAGTATAGTCAGTATATTCGGCTTTCACTAGGCCTAACGCTACCCCAATAGGTCAGAAAATGGTTCGAATAATACTTTAAAATTAAATCTGTGTAATCTTATGATTCTAAACATTTTCTTCAGGTTGGTATTTACACAACCGATACGATTTGTACATGTGACGTTTCGATGAATAGTACGATATGCACACTGTCACCTAAGGTACAGCACATATCGTACTGTCATCGAAACTTAACATAGAAAATCGTATTGGTTGTGTAAAAAACAACTTCTCATAATAAATCGATGTATGCTTTTATATGAATAAAAATAAGTTTCATAGCTAAATAGGGTCTGCTCATGGCCGACAAACGGACGAAATCTCACTGCGAGTTAGCATTCTGTCTAAAAACAAATTACCTAGAATATTTGTTCCTGTAATTGAACCACCACGAATAGTCTTTGTCAAGAATCAAGACACATTCCAATTACAAGATCTGGATATTTAAATATCACTGAAAAACTGTCGAAATTTTATTAATTTTGATGGTGTGATGTTATGCTCAAATCCCAAACCACGAAATGATATGATGGAACATGTACTTCGTATATCAACAAAGTTTACAATATATTTCAGTATTTAAGTTCTCTATAACTTTATATTTGCCCATTATTACTATCACTCAATAGTGTTTGCTTCTCTCTTGCGTGGTAAACGTTACATACTAATTATAGTAGTATTGTGTAAAATTACAGAATAATCGTAGTAGTAAATCGTAAAGGTTACATAATAATTGTCGTGGTATAGAGCACAGAGCTATGACGAGGATCTAACACTAGGCACTGTTAAAGGCGAAAAAGGCCGCTTCTTTTATAACTTAAAAAAAAAATCCTTTTCTTTACAATCTGACCATACCAAAAGTATTTAATGGAAATAAAGCGCATATGATAAATAATACATGTTTACGTCTATAGGGCCATTATATTTTGTTACACAAATTTAACCTCGATTTCAATATACCTTTGGGAGATGATAACCCGGAAAGTATTTTTCATACAAAATCAAGATTACTACTTATTTGAAAAGAAATAAGTTATACGGTAACGCTTCAGTGTAACGTGAGGATACACAAAATGAAATACATTTTAAAGAGACGTGTTTATATTTCCTATCTAGTTTCTGGGATATCCTTTTTTACTGTAATTGTTATTTCTTTTTTTTATCACCAACGCATGTGTCTATTTATAGAGCTGATTTAGTTGAGTCAGGTTCCCTTGTTTTAGCTGGCCGGGTACCCAAAATGGAACGCCTCATCATATGAGTCCGGTTCTGAAACAATAAACAGCTTCAGATACTTTTCTTCATTTCAAGAACGTTTTGGTACTTTCTGACTTTTAGTCGTTTACTTATTTAAAACATTTATTTGAACAAATATTGTCTATGTTTAGAAATGTGATAGGATATTTATGTTGTCGTACTGTACGCTTTCCCGGTATTTTTATTTTCAGCTGAATTTATGAACAACATTTAAGAGGTAGGCAGATGAAATTTGCCCCACTTGCTTGAAACTACATCAAATTTGATTTAAAAAAGACAACAATCATTTGTGTTGCAAAATAAAAGTGCTCCATCATCTTTATGAAAAGTGTTCCATTTTCGGTACCGTTCCTTTCTGGGTACCCTCACGTTAGCTAGTCCTTTTGAATTTGATCGTTGACGCATATTCTGTAGCTATTTTTACGATATGAAGCTGGATGGGTGTTTGTGTTTCTACAGGTGTGGTCCTATGCCTACTTGACGCTCACGGCCTTGTCTATATTGACTTTCTTCATTGAAACGCTGCCTGAAGGACGGGTGAGGATAACCCACGACAACGGAACTTTTGTAGACACAGACATCAGCAACCATAAGATCAGGCTTCTCGTCACCACCGAACCTCATCCCGCTCTCATGGTCATCGATGTGTTTTGCATGATATTTTTCTCCATAGAGTTCATTGTACGTCTGATCGTCTGTCCCCGGAGGAGGCGACTGATGGGAAGAGCGATGACAGTATTTGACCTTCTTTACCTGATTCCAGTCTGGCTGACCACTACGATCTACTGGATAGACCGTGATTTCTGGCGATATTCCAGTCGTATCTTAGGATTCCTTGTCTTACAAGCGTTCAAGGTGTTGAGAGTGTTTCGTATTTTCCGGGTGATGCAGTACTTCCGGGGCTTGAGGATTCTGTGGCTAGCAGTGAAAGCTAGCGTCCGAGAGCTGATTCTGTTGGCGATGTTCATCTTGTTAGCTATAACCATATTTGCTTGTTTCATCTACTGCGCAGAGATCTTTAACGAGAATAGCTTTGACAACGCTGTAATCGGACTTTGGTGGGCTCTCATTACCATGACTACGGTAGGATATGGCGACTTCTTTCCGGAGAGTTGGCCAGGTTATATTGTTGGCGGTGTATGCGCACTAACCGGCATCATTCTGATCGGAATGCCTGTTCCAATCATTGCCAGTAACTTCCATGCATACTACGGACTGCGGATACCGGTGGAACAGGATAAGGAGGTACCTCAACAAAAGCATATTCCAATACGGAAACGGAAAGTGTCCCCAATCAGACCCGTTTAGCTATTTAGTGTTAATTCCAGTGAACGTGGCAATACATACATCACAAAAATTAAGTTTACCGTTTTATAAGAAAGGTGTGATATGTGTACAGAAGACAAGTTTATGATGTTGTGAATACCATGGCCAGGCCACATGGATACTGTATTGGTATAATTTGGTTTGGAATCATGTCGAATTTTGGTGAATTCATTATCATATGACTTCAGCTATAGATCTTATATTATTTAGTACAGAAATATTCATCGGAGAGTTTGGGGTGGAATTTCAAAACGTTTAAATCGTTTATAACAACAAGCCTTCCTCAACATGGATATATATATATATGCATTTCATGATGTATTACCAGTTGAATTTAGTATTGTCTGTTTGTACAGCTTGTATAAGTGAAGATACCTATAGACCACTGTTGCTCATTTATTGATACTGTAAATGCAAAATTTGTTGTATTTGTGAATCTTACGTTATGTATATGTACATGTAAAGGACACTCTGTCTTGGTCGAGCACTCCATGGTTGACCGTGATTAGTTGAAATTTGTGATACCTGATACTGATTTTATATAAACTGTCGAATTGTAAACACCATATAATAAATGTTGGCTTACACTTCCAATACCGAATGTACGGGATTTTTGTATCTATTATTTTTGGCCTTTGTTCGAATATCGTATACTACTACACCATTTCTATCAAATCTTCTTCGGTGATATCACAAAAGTCAAATTAAATTAATACATAGCTGTGATGATTCTTATTCTATGCCCATGTACTGACGGTTACTATGAACAACACTTACTATCACAGACAGTTATTATCCTGACGGTTACTATTAACAACACTTACTATCACAGACAGTTACAATCACCAACATTTACTATCACATACGGCTATACTCACTGTCGGTTACTATCATCAACGCTTACTATCACAGACAGTTATAACCCCTGACAGTTACTGCCACCAACGCTTAATTTAACATACGGTTATTATCACTGACGGTTACTATCAACAACGTTTACGATAACATACGGGTATTATCACTGACGGTTGCTATCAACAACGCTTACTATCACAGACAGTTATTACCCCTGACAGTTACTGCCACCAACGCTTAATTTAACATACGATTATTATCACTGACGGTTACTATCAACAACGTTTACGATAACATACGGGTATTATCACTGACGGTTGCTATCAACAACGCTTACTATCACAGACAGTTATCACGACTGACGGTTACTATCACCAACATTTACTTTCACATACGGTTATTATGACTGTCGGTTACTATCATCAACGCTTACTATTACAGACAATTATTACCACTGATAGTTACTATCACCAACGCTTACTATCACATACGGTTGTTATCACTGACGGTTAATATCACCAACGTTTACTATCACAAACGGTTATCATGACTGTCGGCTACTATCATCAACGCTTACTATTACTATCACCAACGTTTACTATCACAGACAGTAATTATCACTGACGGTTACTATCACCAACGCTTACTATCACAAACGGTTATCGTGACTTTCGATTACAATCATCAACGCTTACTATCACAGACAGTTGTTACCATTGACGGTTACTATCAACAACGCTTACTATCACAGACAGTTATTACCACTGACGGTTACTATCAACAACGCTTACTATCATATACGGTTATTATCACCGACGGTTACTATCATCAACGTGTATTATCACATACGGTTGTTATCACTGACGTTTACTATCAGTATCACCAACGTTTACTAACACAAACGGTTATCATAACTGTCGGTTACTTTCATCAACGCTTACTATCACAGACAGTAATCAACACTGACGGTTACTATCAACAACGCTTACCATTGCATACGGTTGTTATCACTGACGGTTACTATCGCCAACATTTATGATCACAAACGGTTATTATGACTGTCGGATATTATCATCAACGCTTATTATCACAGACAGTTATTACCATTGACGGTTACTATCACATACGGTTATTATGACTGTCGGTTTTTATCATCAACGCTTTATATCATAGACAGTTATTATCATTAACGGTTGCAGTCAACAACGCTTACTATCACAGACGGTTACTAATAACAACGCTTACAATCACAGACGGTTACTAATAACAACGCTTACTCTCACAGACGGCTATTATGACGGAATGTTACTACCCCCTACGCTTACTATCACTAACAGATATTATCATGGACGGTTGACATAACTGACGCTTACTATCACAGACGGTTATTATCACTGTGTATTATTATCACAGTGTATTATTATCACGGACGCTTGCAATCACCAAAAATGACAGTCTCAAACGGTCATTATCAGACTTTAACTATCACCAACGGTTACTATCACAAACCGTTACTTTCACCATCAGTTCTTATCATGTATGGTTATAATCACCAACGATACGTAGCACATACAGTTACTATCACCAACGGTTGTCATTGTTCACTACATATGGCATTCTCACAACTAGTGATCTACACCCAATATCCCCACACACTGATTCACAACACGCCGAATCTTCACACACTGGTTCACTACAGTCCATATCCTCATACACTGGTTTACAAAATGTGTATTCACACAGTGGTTCACAACACACCGATACCTCCACACTGGTTCACAACACACCGATTCCTCTCACACTGGTTCACAACACACTGATACCTCCACACTGGTTCACAACACACCAATTCCTCTCACACTGCTTCACAACACACCGATACCTCCACACTGGTTCACAACACACCGATACATCCACACTGGTTCACAACACACCGAATCCTCTCACACTGATTCACAACACGCCGAATCTTCACACACTGGTTCACTACAGTCCATATCCTGATACACTGGTTTACAAAATGTGTATTCACACAGTGGTTCACAACACACCGATACCTCCACACTGGTTGACAACACACCGATACCTCCACACTGGTTCAAAACACACCGATTCCTCTCACACTGGTTCACAACACACCAATACCTCCACACTGGTTCACAACACACCGATCCCTCCACACTGGTTCAAAACACACCGATTCCTCTCACACTGGTTCACAACACACCGATACCTCCATACTGGTTCACAACACACCGATTCCTCTCACACTAGTTCCCAACACACCGATTCCTCTCACACTGGTTCATAACACCCCGATACCTCCACACTGGTTCACAACACACCGATACATCCACACTGGATCACAACACACCGAATCCTCTCACACTGATTCACAACACGCCGAATCTTCACACACTGGCTCACTACAGTCCATATCCTGATACACTGGTTTACAAAATGTGTATTCACCCAGTGGTTCACAACACACCGATACCTCCACACTGGTTCTCAACACACCGATTCCTCTCACACTGGTTCACAACACACCAATACCTCCACACTGGTTCACAACACACCGATACCCCCACACTGGTTCACAACATTCCGATTCCTCTCACACTGGTTCACAACACACCGATACCTCCACACTGGTTCACAACACACCGATACCTCCACACTGGTTCAAAACACACCGATTCCTGTCACACTGGTTCACAACACACCGATACCTCCACACTGGTTCACAACACACCGATTCCTCTCACACTGGTTCACAACACACCGATTCCTCTCACACGGTTCTAATTCAAAGTGAGTATCTTGATGCACCATATGATCTGCCTGACCAGCCTTGTCAAGGTAATAGCTCTAATTGCCCAGAGTCGTCAGTACTTCCCTACTCGAAGAAGGTGTTAGCATATTCTGTTGGCACGTATAAAAATGCAAACGAGTCTGATATATAGTTCCAAAAAAATCTTTTCCGAGCAGATTAATAGCTTAAGTTTCTAAAAATCGTTGACGTTCTGGTCGAAAAACGACTCTTTGAATTCCAGGGCTACGATGCTTAAATCAATATGTTGTTCACACGTTATAAGTTTCCTTGAGCTGACTGTTTGAAAACGTTGCGATTTTTCTATATTTTGCAGTGTTTAATGGTTTATCGGGTTTAGGGATCTGTGGCTGTCGTGAGTGTGACACCTACAGAGGCGCGCCAGTCGGTGATCTTCAACAGATACTGGTAATACGTAACGGGACGGGCCTCGCTGCATCGTCTCATCCATGTCAGGGGACCGCCAAACACTGTTTACAAATGCTTTGGTAGGGGATCCATCATTAATTGAAGTTGTATTAGGGGGGTCATCATTGTAGTCAGATTATTAATTAGATCTCTGTGCACCATATAAGAAATGGCTACTGACGAGTCTGTGGTAAAGACCTTATCGTAAATAAGACTTGGGAAGCTACTTTTCTGTTTTAGTTGCTTTGAACTTTGAATTAATCAATGTAACATGTCGATACTCAGCTTGTCTTATCGATCACAATGTACACAGAAACAGCATCCGTACCCATCGTCTTTACACCGGGAACCAGCTGACGAGACGGAGGTTATACCCTCAGCAACCTCACTCATTCAAAATCATCAAAAACATTCTAGATACCTGCATGAACTTTTGATACAAGTAACTTAATATAAAACAGAATCTCTATAATACTGTAAGCGTCTTTGGGGCAAAAACATAAATTAAAATACAGAGATCGGAATATACGTGATCCTGGAATTTTTGCTACGATAATTTGATCGAAACTGAAACCATGTATCCCGTAATTCCGTGCTTAGTATAAACATGTATCCCATAAGTCCGTGTTAACTATAGACATGTACCCCATAAAACCGTGTTAAGTACAGACATGCACCCCGTAAATCCGTGCTAAGTACAGACATGTACCCCGTAAATCCGTGCTAGGTATAGACATGTACCCCGTAAATCCGTGCTAAGTACAGACATGTCCCCCATAAATCCGTGTTAAGTACAGACATGCACCCCATAAATCCGGGCTAAGTACAGACATGAACCCCGTAAATCGGTGTTAAGCATAGACATGCACCCCGTAAATCCGTGCTAAGTACAGCCATGTATCCCGTAAATCCGTGCTAAGTACAGCCATGTATCCCGTAAATCTGTGTAAACTATAAACATGTACCCCGTAAATCCGTGTTACAATGTAAGTACAGATATGCACCCCGTGAATTCGTGCTAAGTACAGACATGTACACCATATTCCGTGTTAAGTATAGGCATGTACCCCGTAAATCCGTGTTAAGTATTGGCATGTACCCCGTAAATCCGTGTTAAGTATAGACATGTACCCCATATTCCGTGTTAAGCATAGACATGTATCCCATAAGTCGGCGTTAAGTATAGACATGCATCCCGTAAATCTGTGTTCACTATAAACATGTACCCCGTAAATCCGTGCTAGGTATAGACATGTACCCCGTAAATCGGTGTTAAGCATAGACATGCACCCCGTAAAACCGTGCTAAGTACAGCCATGTATCCCGTAAATCCGTGCAAAGTACAGCCATGTATCCCGTAAATCTGTGTAAACTATAAACATGTGCCCCGTAAATCCGTGTTACAATGTAATTACAGATATGACCCCGTAAATTCGTGCTAAGTACAGACATGTACCCCATATTCCGTGTTAAGTATAGACATGTATCCCATAAGTCGGCGTTAAGTATAGACATGCACCCCGTAAATCT